TTATAGAATGTTTTCCTATTCGGCCCACTTTTTATCTCAGGTAAGGCACTGCAAAGCTGATTCATTTACGAAGGTTCGAGCGAGAATTATTTCATGATGTTATTCTGATTTCGCAGCCACGGGAAAACAGACCTAGACTCAGGTCCACTCGCAGACGCCATGGTACAATCTACAAGATCTCAAGAACAGAAATTACCCATTTAACGGCCTCTCCTTTTGAAGATTGCGTGTATTTCATTAAAACAGGTACATATTAAAAGAATCTTGTTAGTTTCTCCCTTTTAACGAGCTCAAATCGACGCATAAAACTAAGTTGACGTGCACGTGTCAGTTGACCCTGGGGTCAATTAGCGGTTGTTTGGGGCGAAATAACCTCAAAATAATCAGTCTATTTTACAAGCGTTCGCAAGAACACCAGACTAACTTTCAGATAATGTTGAAGTACCATATCTCATTAGGTAGTAAACGGGATTTGGGGTGATTTGGAGAATTCCCCATATAGAAAATTCGATTTTGGTTTTAGCGGTAAATTGTTGTATGTATAAGCATTATGCAAATTACGTTTCAAAATTGTGCTCGTTTGTCGATATTTTATTCTCTAAATCTAAAAAAATGTTGCTGTTTAGAAATTGTTAATATCTGTTTTTGAGATTTAAGTGGAAGATTGCCAATATATTCGCTCGTTTATGAAAGTCAGCTCATTTCTGTCGCTAGGCTATATTGCCGTGTTCGGCGGCTAATTTTAGGCCCGCAGACCGTTGAAATCGAAAATCTCAAATAATTCCCAAATTCGGCCGCATTTTGAAATTTAAACCTCAGCAGTGTTCTAAATTCATTAAAACCTTATTACAGACTTAAAATGAGGGTAGGTTAGGTTTTGAGCTGTGGCCACGGTTTGCTCGATTTTTCTGTGCATTCGCTCTTAAGTCCACTGCTTTTTAATCTTTACATTAACGACCTACCTTTCGCATTTGAAAATAAATTATCTGATCGTTTTGCTTTGCCAAACGGTGTAAAACTAAATTCTCTATTATATGCAGAGGATTTAATCATTTTATCACGATCCAAACCAGGACTACAAAATTGCCACAATAAACTATCTCCATTCTGTACTTCATGGATGATAAACTATCAATCCCAAGAAAACAGAAATTATGGTTTTCAGAAACGTGCGAGAAAAAAATGCTGATTTCCACTTTCTCATAGATAGTCAAATAATTGATGTTGTACAGGGGAACACTTACTTAGGAACTCGAATGTCCTTATCGGGAAATTTGTCGGTGTCACAGGAACGTCTCAAAGAGAAAGCTCTTCTGCCTTGTTCAGCTTGAGACGACACACGAATCTTTGCAAACTAAAAGCAGCTCTCGCCTGTTAAACATTTGATACTATGATCTCCCCTATTCTAAGATATAACAGGGAAATTTGTGGTGTGTATGCCAAACCAGATTTTATGACCTGGGACGGCTCACAAATCGAGAAGGCACACCTTCAATTTTGTAAACGATGCTTGGAGGTAAACAACAAAGCTTCTAATATAGCTTAAGTAAAGGTTGGCTATTGGGCATTTAGGCATACCAAACAATGCAATGATTTCCCTGTGTGACCACCAAACAATAGCTTACTATTGCTCAGTTCCCAGTGCCCGAAGCAACCTTTATTGAACCAGCTGTACATGTGCAATGTATGTATAGAGTGTTTTCACATGACGTCACGGCGGCCATATTGGTGTCCCAAAACAATGAAACGGCCACCATGTTGGTGTCCCAAACCAATCCTCTGGGAGTTGAACTCTTTTCTTCTGCAAACGCTTTCTTTTGTTCCAATAAATTTGCATAGATGCTGGCCAAGTGAGTGAAAACACTCTATATGGTCCTGATTGTTTAAGCAATAGAAAACGTTTTCCGTGTTTGCATAACCTGATATAAACACGAGAGGGGTTGGGAGAATTCGAGACAGTTATGCAAACCCGAGACGAAGTCCAGGATTTGCATAACTGTCGAGAATTCTCTCAACGCCTCGAGTGTTTATATCAGGCTATGCAAACACAGGAAAAAAGTTTTCTATTGCTTTTATAGAATAACTTTCCCGAGAAAAAAACGCAAAACTCTTTGTATGGCACTGATTAAAAGAGAAATTCTTACCAGTCGCAAAATCTTGTCCACGAAGTCTTGCACGCGCAATCAGTTCTTGTTTTCCAAAAAGATGCTTTGCAAAATACGGATTTTTCTCGCTTAAAATGTCAGCTTAAGGGAGGAAAAATTGACACACCTTCGTTGTAACGATTTTCCAAGTTTCAGCCGATGAAGGGATGGGTAAATAAGGCAAACTTGTCGAGTTTTGAACTCGGAAACTTTTTCAAATTCGTGCTTGCGTGATTGGCGCGCGAAAAGCCAAACAACTTGACGCCACAACCATGTTTACATACACTCATACAAACACTTCTTTCGGCCAATCAGAGCGCGCGTACTATCTTAGTTATTTTAAAGTAACAAACAAAATGTCAAAAATCATGTTCCTGAATATTTTAAGAAATTCCAAAGCAAATTACCATTTTAGGCTTAACTGAGTCAATATGATAAGTTAAATGTCTATAATATATAATTTCATTATTGAATTTTACTTGCCAACTATACATACATTTATCTCGCAAGACCTAACACAATATTTGAGTCCACTAAAATCATCATGAAGCTCGTAAGGCCTGAGCCAGAGCATTCACTATTGGTTTTGTGGTTGGTATTGCTATGTGTGAGCGAAAGAGGACGGACACAAAGCTTAATTAACGTGACACATTTGGAGTGAGAGCAAGAATGTAATCTGATCAATTAACTGTAAAGGAAAATAGTCGGTGAAACTGCAAAAATATTACGATTACCTGATGTATAGTTATTGCGCGTGAACAAGAAAAACAAATATCGCGAAATGTTGGTTGTACACCTCGACTGAATCGATTTGTTTCTGAACGAGATGCATCGCCTGGTGTATCGATATTACTTTGTATGAAAACGACCGGTAAGCAAACACATAAACAAAAGCCAAAATGGCTCTTCGTAATAAATTAATTGACAGCGCTACTCGAAAGGCCATGTATAATCCAACGGTCCTTTTCATAACGCGTATGCCTAGACGTTCCAATAACAGATTATTCTAAAATAAGGAACAATTGTACTCACATTAATTCGCATCGCGAAGACTCTAACAGTACGTGTGTCCACCAGTTGCACTTAGATCCGTTCCTTTAAAAGTAAAAGCCAGTCGCTGACAATTCGGTGACATTTTGATTCGTGATTAAAACAAAATCTGCGCGTCTGGAAAGTCCACATAGTTGACAAATTCTCTTTTTGCGCAGTATAAAGGGCAACTCAACGCAAGTTGCAAACATCAACAGCCGTCCGCCATAATTTTAAAATACAAAGATGCTTTGTTCCTTAGCAAGTGGTTTTACCACGTGACTCTATTGCGCGGGAAGTCTCCGGGCGCGTGCCAGGTTGAGCAAATTGTATTCATCCAGTATGATTCATAAACGTAAGATAACGATGTGGAGGAATTTCTTGAGCGTTTGGTTCTTCATGCAACACGAGAGGTAAGCGTTTTATATTTATACTAAAAATACATATCTCGCAAAAACCCTCGCGAAACTCGGTTTGGTAACGTCAGTCAAGTTAAGCCCTGTCGGTCGGGGTTACGAAATGGATGGATGACCAACCGCGAATATCGTCTTAAATGTCCATACGTTGTTCTTTCTTTTCTTCTTCTTTTTTGCGTATTATGTGGTGTTATTGTTAACAGTGTATTGAAAAGCAGATTTAGCATTATTTCGGCGTCCGGATTTAGAAAAGAAAAAGACAAAAACAAAGATAGTCCATGAGCCAAGTCCTGAAATGTGGCTAAAAATCAATTTTCGTAGCACCCCCCGTAAGACTTAGTGAATTTAGTATCAAATTAAAGCTTGATTTCCATATTTTGATAATCTACCTGTTACTTTTTATGTAACCTTTGCTTAAGTGAGAAAATCAACTGTTTCTGAGGGGGGGAGGGGGGGTGGGTAAGGACAAATTGCGCTTCCCAAATGTACAAGAATTGCAAAAGATAACTTTCTGTGTAAATACCAAACGGGTTTACACCAAACTGGGCAAAAATACTAACCTCACCATATTTTATGAAACGAACTCATCGAATATGTTTTCTTTAGTTGCCATGACAACCGTCAACGTTTAAATAGCGCATTGGGCTACACTTCTCACTTTTACCGTTTACTTTGTACTAGTGAGTGTTTTTTGAAAACAAGGAATTGAGAAGGAAGCACAGAAATGTTTGGTCTAACTGGCCTGACATTTTTCGGGAATACTGCATAACTGAAGCCCTCGCAGGTAAATACAAATTTAGCTGGGGGTGGGGTGGGGGAAGAGCTTTGTGACCTCTAAACATTAATATGTTTTAGAAACTAGTGGTAATCATTGATTACGGATCAGCGTTCGTCACTTACGGAAAAATTACGGAACTTCCTCGAGTGAAAAGAAGTGCAGCTTCCCGGCCGAGGTGCCCCTTAAAAAATTAATAGGGCGGCTAATCTGCAGTCGTCCGTGATAGCTCGATAATTTCTGCCTTAATGCCACAGGAACACCAGATTAGGATGCGTTCTAACGAACGCGATGAAATGAGTGTGTAATGAAATTTGCCGATTTCTATTATGATAACTAAAAGGTTATGCATCACAGTAGCTGTTTATACTGTTTCCATAGCAACGGTTGCCTACTGAACTTCTAATACACGTATATTACACTGTTTTTGTTTTGATGATGACCATCGAAGCATTTGTGATTTCAAAAGATCCTTACATCCTCATGACTTGGCCTTCCATTTCACAACTGGCTTTTTTCTGACCAAAAGCTACTTTTAAGTCATACGATCAAATTACATTTTTGTAATCATTCAACTTATAGATTTAAATACGTCAACTAGACAGCCGATACTAATTAGCGTCACCAAATCTGAATTTAACTGTCATTTTTATCTTCGGTATCGTCATCATTATCATCAACATCAGTATCGTCATCACTATCATCATCTTCTTCACTATCTTCCTTGCTAACACAATTGACACAGTTATCTTGGCATGTACATGCCTCAGTGCAGGGAAGACCATTGCCAACACAAGAGCAGCGTTGTGTTTGACACAATCCTTTGCAGCCGCAGCATACAAGCTCCATCACAGCATCGGGGGCTGGTGCCTGGTTAGTCCAGTAGATTTCCAGTTGGCCTTCTTTCATCTGCCATCCATGGCCATCGGGCGCCTGGTCCGTTTGTTTCTCTAGGGCATGCTTCCAGAGGAAGGCCTGATAGTTAGCACGCTTGAGGTGGTATGTCAGAGCTCCTTTTGTTGGTGGAAGCTGGTGTGACTGCAGGTTTTTGCTCTTGCAAAACAACTTGTACCTGAGTTCGTTTACATCATTGCATCTAGGGTCATTGTACAAGGCACAAACAAATCGTTCCATCTTCTTTAAATCTTCTTCATTATTAGGAGGGAGCCTCTCACCAAGACTACTGACAATTTGCCTCAGAGCTGGATTCAAATGTACAATATCAAGTGCTTTCTTCTTTCCTTTGGTAGCAAAGGCACTGACACTATCACAACCGGTTATGGCATGTAGGCTTGGAAGTACTTCACATATCTCTCGGCCAAGCTTTTCACATACTTGTCGGATACTCACATTGCAAGATCTGCTTTTAGTGCCGCTGATCAGTGTTATGTCAGCAGCAATGACAGCTGACCTTATAGCAATGTGCTGATGTCCATTTTGAGAAGCACGATTTGCGTGGAGGAGCATCCTGGTATCAGCTTGTTACGCCGCAAAATGTAATATTAACGCAAAATATAATAGGAATCGCCGCAAAATGTAATAACATTGACGCAAAATGTAATAAAATTTTAAACGCAAAATGTAACAATCCTTCAACGCAAATTGTAATAAATTTTATAACGCATAATGTAATAACGCAAAATGTAATAATTTCCGAAATAACGACGTGCATGCTATTTCAAAATCGGTATTGTGGCGCAGTAATCAGTAGCTGATCCAGATCTTCATGTGAATTATTATTAATACTATTATTATTATTATTATCAATATTGATAATAATAATAGTAATAATATTTATTTTCTTCTTCTTCTTCTTCTTCTTCTTATTATTATTATTATTATTAATGAAATAACGGTTGAAACGTCGTGTTACTTCCGTGCTCAGCTAGTCTCTCTCGCAGCCGTGTTTTGTCTCTTCACGCAACACTCTTCCCCAACAAAGGAGGAGGAGCGTTGCGTGACTAGACAAAAATGGCTGCAAGAGCTTGCTTTACTGTACCACAACTGTAGCAACTGAGAGACTTGGTTTAATTTCACGTGTTGAATTTAATTGCAGTCAAATAAAATAGCTCTTGTCGAAAACAAGTAATAGAATCAACTTTCAAAGCATAATTCAAATGCATTTAAAATATAAAATATGTCACACTTTTTTTCATGAGAACCAGACAACTTTGGCTGTAGCTTACTTTTCCTAAGTTCTCACTTAATAGAGGCTGAATTGTTCTTAATGCAGTTTTTTTGGTCCAAGTTTCTTTTATGTTGAAGTTTCCAAGCTTTGCAAAGTCAAATCAGTTTGCCTTGTAAGGCAGTTGTCGTTTGCCTAGAACAGATAGCGCAAAATTTTTTTAGTTAGCCCAGTAACGCATTTTTGATTGCAGTAGAGTTAAGATGATGCACAAAAACATTGAATTTGCCTGGCAAGGCAGTTGTGATTAGAAGACAGGCCATCCTCTTTTTTTCTCCGTTTAGCGTCGTCCGACCGACCCAAATTTTTGGCATTTTCAAAAAAAAAGTAACGACGTAGTTAAACCATTTTTCACTTGAAATAATTCTTTTAATCTGAAAAATGAGCATAGTAATAGCATAGAGAAAAACAGGAACAAAGACATAAACATTTTTTACAGTATATTGTGTATTTTGTTAATCCAAATAGGTGAATGTTAACTTTTAACGTCGTACTGGGGTACCAGGGCCTCCTATTCCGAGACTTCTTGTGATTTTGTTTTTTAGGCTTTTTGTCTCAATCCGACCGACCGACTCAATATCAGGAAACGCATTCGACGCTAAACGAAACCTTGAATTTGCTCAGCGACGCAATCGCCATTGGCTTAGAGTTGACGGCACCAAATCTTGAACTGGGAGATCCATAAAAAGTGCGCAATTTCGTCTTTTTAGGGCCGACCATTTTTGACCACCTGAGAGGGGAGGGTGTATGGGTAATTTGGTTTTGGTTAGAATTTTTGGATAATTATGGGAAACTGTCTACATAACCCTCCCCTAAGCCAAAATTAACACTTATTTCTCACTTAGGGCGAAATTTTGGCTTAGGACGGCTAGGTGGGCACTGTATTGGGACCTGTATTACGTTCAAATCAGCGAAAACAAACGTCCCATTCGGTTCCCTAAAGATGATTACATCTCCTCATTTCAACTGTTTCATTGTAATATTAGCAATAATAATAATAATAATAATAATAATAATAATATTAATAGTAATATTAATATTATTAATAATATTAATATTAATATCAATAATAATAATAGCTTATAATTTAATTGAAGATCTGAATTCGCTACTACCAATGACTGAGCAACAATACCGATTTTAAAATGGCATGCACCTCGTTATTCCGAAATTATTACATTTTGCGTTATTACATTATGCGTTAGAAAAGTTATTACAATTTGCGTTGAAAGATTATTACATTCTGCGTTGAAAATTTTATTACATTTTGCGTCAATGTTATTACATTTTGCGTTAGTATTACATTTTGCGGCGATTCTTATTACATTTTGCGGCGATTATTACATTTTGGGGCGTAACACAGCTTCCTCTTGATTGCTGCAAAGTTCCAAGACTGTGCATGCAGTAATTGTACCATCAGAGGCGGAGAGTTTGGTGCAATTGTCTCAATGAGTGATAAAGAGAGTGCGTTCTTTGATTTTCTCGGCGTAAACCGCATTTTGTAACCACTCACGTGCAAAGAAGTTTAAGAGACCAGTTTCGTTGCTTCCCTTTGCCATGAACTTTCTCCACTGACGAGGGCAGAAATGCTGACCATCGGTAATGTTGATGACTATCTCACCATCTCTGCCTCGCTTGTTCCTCTCGGTGTTTTTAATTGAGTTAGCTTGATATTGATCTCCTACAAAGTCGATTCTTGCTGCCTCTCCAACCTCTATCAGAATTCTGGTCATCACCATGTCTGCCAGCTCAAAAAATCTATCAGGTATCCTCACTAGCGTCTGCATCATCGCCATGGCGTCTATGATGACAGCTGTTGTCAGATCAGGTAAAGTCGGCAGGCATTCTACTCCATTTTTGAGTAGCTTGGAAAGAATTGCTTTGTTTCTCTTGGCTAATGAACCATCGGATGAAGCCAACGACCGTGGAAGGGGACCAAGCTGGTGACTCAGCAAATCTTTGAGGTCCATCTGGCGACTCTGTCCAATGACTAGAAGGCGGGCAAATAAGTTCCTGTCGGCTCTGATTATGAAGTTCCTGTCTCCTGCTGTTACAGAGGTCTTCTTCTGTGCATCACGGAAACTTCCTAGCTCTAGTTTGGGGAGTGTTTGAAAGAATCCTGTTGAATTTGTCACGAGTCTTTCTTCTACGAAGGCCATCAAAGCTGTTGTGCCCTTCTCTTTTGCCAGGAGCAGGTCGACCTTCACACTTTCACTGGCAACATACCCAGAGCTAAGACTAAGAAGTTCCTCAGATGGTTCAAACGGGTTGCGCCAGTTACTGATTACTTCGAAAACTTTCTTTACGTCGTCCTCATCTCTTTTCATGCGAGCTGAGCTTGCCTCTTTGTGCAGTCTGCGTTGGCTTTCTTGAACATTTGTTGTCATCTTCCGACACTTGTCTACGAAAGCAGCACGGGAGTGAGCAGTAATCATCCATCGCTGTACAGCACCTTTCCTCAGGCTGAACCCAACAATTCCTCCCTTTGTCTTAGTGCTTCTGTTCAGGGTCTGCTCAATTGTTTGATCTACCGGTATCTGTGAAAATCCATGTAATGTTGTTCGTTGGACTCCAAAATCACCATTTAACAGGAGGGTATGTGCCTCTGGGTGAGTTTCTGGTAGCAACATCATGTGGGCTAAGTACACTGGAAGGTAACGAGCATAATTAGTATGGTCGTAGGCGAAGAACCATGATAGCATCTCCTTGATGCCTTCAAGATGCATGGCCCACTTCCCTTCCCTGGTTGCTCTTTCGAAATTTATCAGCACTTCCACCATCTCCAGGTAGCTATTCCAAAACACCTTTAGCGGACCATTGTCTTCTTTACAGTATTACTTGTAAAGATTGAAAATTTCTAGGAAATCCGGCATGGACAGCAGCCTGTTAAATTTCTCTGTGCTAAACTCTTTGCGGATGTCCTCTATGGCACTGACAAGGATCATGCGGTTGCCACGGTGACAACTACGTTGCAGCCATGACTTGAAACCCATCCACTTTAGTCGGTGCATTGCTTCAAACACAATCTAAAATAACAAAAGGTTCAAAAAATTTGTTTATTTTATTTACGTAGCATCGATTAAAAAAGTTGAAAGTGAAGATATGATCCTGTAGGAATCATCAAGATATTATCCACTCAGCTCTATAAAGACCTAATCAAGCTATGTGTATCTTATGTGTACGTACAGCTCGGTTGTAGTGACGACCTTCAATAACCCCAGCCAAGATCCTGAGCCCACGATGCCACTTTCAACCAAAACATCTGCAAGGCCGGCATCTCCGAATCGCTTGCCAATAGCAGCAAGGAAGGCACAGATGGTGTGAAAGGAGCCAATCCGGACAACCAACCGCTGAAACTGGTCCTTGTTCTGCCATAGTAATTCAAGTGCTTTTGCGTAGATCGCTTGATCGAAAACAACAATTACATCATGTTGCCCTAGCTGGTCAGCCATCTGTAAAGATCTTTGCAACACTGTATACACTGTGGGAAGTTCTGTGGGACTAGCTTCAATAACTTGGCAATAGCCAACTGAACCACGTGGGACACTGTCCTCGCGTAGTTTGATGTTGAAGCCCGACCACGCTGGTATAACGTGCCTTTGATTGTCTTCCAATGAAAATAGCGTGTCTTTGATCGGCATTCTGCAGAGTATCCGGCCAAAGTCGATGACCCGTGCATAAGCTGTAATTTCCGGGGAGGCTTGTTTAATAGCGGTGAGATCAATTTCGAGCGTATCAGGTCCCTGTCGAGGTCCCGAATGATATGGAAGTACGTCAGTAGAGTTGCAGGAAAAAGAAAGTTTTTTGGAGCGATTCTGGTTATTGGAAGTTTTAAGAGGTTTGCGTTGAATAACAATGCCATTAGTGCAATGAGTCGTTCCCTTACCTGCAGAGCAAATAACAGGAGAAATATTGATGTAAAAACGTGCCTTAATCAATACTAAAAAGGACTTAAATCAATACTACAAATCCTGGCTGTTGGTTGATATTTTAACCTACCTAACCAATTGGTCGAGAACGGAAACTATTTAAGTCTACTCTTAAGACTACTTTTCATAGTTTTTCTAGTTACAGATTGGAAACGTTTTTCTCATACGCTGAAACAAAGTGTATGAGCAGTTTACTTTCAATTTGGACAACAATTTACCTGACAAGGTTTCCTCTTGTAGGTCCTTGTTATCCCAGCAGAAAACGCCTGGTGCATTAGGGTAGCAGACACTTGGTACAAAGACCCCATTCTGTCGCTTTGCAATCTGCATCTCTGCCAGAGCTGTCTCCACTTCCTCTATTTGGGAGTATGATAAACCATGTCCAAATCTGTTTAGAATGGTTATCAGTTCAACATTCCCCGTAAGGCTCTTTACAGTCATCGGAAGAACGACATGTTTTGGTGTTTTTATTCGTCCACGAGTGGCAGAATGTATCAAATCCTGAGAAAGAGAGAGGGCGAGGCGATGGACCTCCGGTGAGATGTCTGAAGCTCTTTCAACAGAATATTCGGACTTTGTTGATAGAATCCACGCCATCATATTGTAGAGCAGATCAGGTACCATCTCAATCTCACACTCTAAATCTTCTGATGATGGTGCCATGGTATTGTTGGTTTCATGTTGGCAACTAACTTTTGTATTGTTTTAGCCATATGGTAAACTTGACGGCTTACCTCGTCTTGTGCATTTGTTAAATCCGGCTCACTGTCACTTTTTGCCATTTGCTCTTCATCAACAGACGTAGTACTCTTGAACACAGTTTCTACCACCTCCTGTTTTGACGTGCGAACCATAGACTAATTCTGATTGGTTTTGGTTCGAAGGTCGATGAAAGGACAGTCGTTCTACAAAAAAACGCGTAAGCCGGTTCTTCAGCTTAGTGGACCTGTACGTCACTACATCTACTCCTTCTTCGGTAAGGAAGGAAGTGTATTTTTCAATAAGGGTTGACATCGGAATGGCTTTTGCCGCAGCGATGACTTCTTTTTCAACAAATTCTTTGACTTTACCAAATGCTCTGTCATAACCCTCAGTTCCAGCATCTTCTTCTTGACAATTCTGCTGTTCTAACTTAGCCAGTTGCTTTGGGTGGACATAATTTTTGTAGCACGATCGATGATACTTGATCTCCATAGCTATAGTGTCTCGTCCATCAATGTGCAATAGTATGCGGCTGTCATTCCGAATACGGGCTGCTTTTATCAAAGTGGCACTACCAAATTCACTAATGTTTAGTGTAAGAGTTTCTCTTGTTCTTGCTCCTTTGCCGTAGGCTTTCTTGACTTTGTCCTTCTGACAAATTGCACATTTATCAATGTCAAATGTTTGAAGTTGTGACCTACAGACCCTCTGACACGAAGGCTCAATGCCACTGGACAGCCCAAGAGACTCTCCATCTCGATCCTCTCTGGTATTGCAATGACTTTGTTCCTCCTTAGACACTTTGTTTATGTCTGTGTATTCTTGGTAGCATTGCCGGTGATATCCCCTTTTGGTCCCTCATTCCAGTAGTCCTTCATTATCAACTAGATTTCATCCCTTCTCCGAGTCGAGCAGCTTTCAAACTTTTCCCAGCTTTTGCTAGTAAATGCTCTTAATTGACCTTGAACATTTTCTTTTACATGACAAAGGCACCTATTCCAGTTAGGTTTCTGTATCAAGCTGGACATGGAGCTCTTTCTAGTACAACTTACTGGCGTAATTTTTGCCATATCCTTGATTACACTAGCTTGTTTTCTGAAACTCTTCAAATGTCACTAGAGAATTAAAAGAAGCAAAAAACCTTATTTCCTTAACACAAGCAAGAACTTATTGAAAACATAACTTCTACGTATGATTTGACCGCTTCCACGCCAAAAACTTCAGTATTGATGTTGTGGTGAAAACAAAATCTGACAGACTACTTACAGTTATTCTAGTAATGTTCTGTGGGAATTTTAGCTTTTAAAAAATAAAATATATTATACAGAAACTTACAGACGTTACTTGAGTTTATCTTGCACAACCAAGAATCGAAATTAAGAGGAAAATCTGTATAAAACCACTATTCTCATACCATTTTGTCTGCACACCATTTTCCAAGATGGCCGCTCATGGATGATAAGTTTGAATAGCATCATGGGATATAAAATCTGGAATGGAACTTTCATGGAATAGCGGACACTGGATTATTATCAAAATGTGCCGGCTTTTCTTTCATTTAAAAAATAACAGAAGAAAACACTTTACAGATTTTGGTCTGTCCACTAGACTCAAATCTATTTTGAGTTTTTATTTTTTTTTTCTTTGCCATTAAAAGAATTACAACAATTTTGAAACAAATGAACTGGTTGACTTGCGGGAATATTATTGAGCCTTAAAGCCTTGCAGTTCATAAAAAGTAAATAGTTTCCAAAAAAATGATGCTAATAATGCTTTGGTGTTCAAGAAATAGTGTCTGTGAAAAATCCTGTTCATAATGTACATATTAATGTAATATCCCTGTTTAAAATATTTGCCTAGCAACGGTCACCATGGTAACACCCTATTGAGATTTAGACAAAGACGAGTACAGCACTTTACTTAAAATAAACTTTTCGTCAGTTTTCTCCATATTGGATCAGCAGTTTCTGAAGTATTTGTTGTTTTAAGCCTTAAAAATGTATTCGTGCCAAAATGTAAAACCGTCCCCCTACCCCCTCAGAAACAAGTGATTTTCTCACTTAGGCACAGGTTACATAGAAAGTAACAGGTAGGTTATTAAGATATATACAATAAGACTTAATTTGATACCAAATTCGCTATGTCTTACAGGGGGGTGCCACGAAAATTGTTTTTAAGGTGTCCTGGCTCATGGACTAAGACCAAATATGGCCCGGTGCAGTACGCCTGAAAATTATTTTTCTTCGGGCCGTAATACAGAGCTGAAACAGACTTTGATCTATATATCGGCGGGGAAACCGGCAAACTAAGAAATCTGGGTTTTCGACAATATAAAACGATCATAATGCCTCTGATTCCAATCTCCTTTTCCTCTGTCTCTTGTTGTCGGCGTTGCCTTCTCTGTGCTAAGCGAGAAAGGACCAGAAAGCGATGTTCCTTCTGCTCCGCGGTTTCTTGTTGACGTCTTCTCCTTCGTCGTTCACGCTGAATTTGAAGTTGGCGTTCTCGCTCCAGAGGAGTTTCGGTGGAAAATCCTCCTGGGCGAGGATTTGGAGCCACTTGTTGTTCTTGTGTGTCATTTGCATGGGAAATTGTTCGTGATTCACCCGATGGTAAACTCTGTTTCATCGGCGGCGAAGTCTATGTTGCCTGGAAACGCAAAATGCTCCATGACGTCACTGGCGTACACCAAGCATATGTTTTGCCTAGTCCCTGTACGGCGTTTTTGCAGGCCCTCTCGGTCAATGCAATTCGGTGACGTATCTGAGAAGAACGGCCGGGAGACGCCTAAACAATCTCGGAGTGCGCATGCGTGAGCATTTTTCCATTTTTGAAAAGTTCCCACGTTCAACTGAAATAATCTAATATATAGATTTAGCCAGGGCTTAAGGCGAAGCTCCCGTTAATAAATTCATAATTTAAATCAAACAATAAACTTGTAATCCACAGATCAGGGCACATTCATTTGACTTTTGAGGCAAAGGCTGAGTGATTTTAGAGAAAAACCAGAATTTGACCGCCCAACAGTGAAACAAATTTTACATCAAGTTATTTGTACACCGAAAAATAGCAATCATGTTCGATCACAGTAGATTAGGCCTGGAAAACAAATAGACCTATTCGTGTATTGTATTTGCATTAGCTGTAGCATCATAATGTGGCATTCTCCAGTCTCTCCAACATTGCTCCGTTAGAGAGGCTATGGATAATTGGACAACCCCGAAATGTGATTTTAAGAAACACATGCCCCACGATAGTCCTTGGTGGCAGCCAATTTACACGTTGCATTCCTCTGTCTAAAAGAGAGGCCAAAATAAAAATCAGGCCGGATTTTTTGTGTTCGACAAGTTTAGTTTACTAGTAAATCACGGCGACGAATCTGGTGGTGTGTAAACCAGCCTTTTAAACATACTTTTTCTCATCACTTTTTCTTTTTTGTCCTATTTAAACCTATAATTCTGCAGTTTTGTACAATTTTGCAAGAGAATTTGCACTCATTCAATATCCACGACGATCAAAGCACGCGCTTCCTTTGCACAACAAATTATAGCACTGAATTATAAAACGTTTTCTGTTAGAAAAATCTGGTCCTATGTAATGTGCAGGGTAATAATTATGGGCTTTTAATGAAAACGATAAAAAAAATTCCCAAAATCACTTTTCGGCCGGCCGGACGGGTTCTCACTTTTGTCAGGCACCAAATTTGCAGTGCGATTAATAGAGTTACCATTTACGCTTCAACATGATAGAGAAATTGTTATGTTTAGGTTTTATTTCCCTTTATTCATTAGACTGTGTATGATTTTGTTATGTGTAATCGCGCGGCGTTTTGAGTATTCCTGCATGCGATGTTTATGTTCGACTGGAAACAACCGGTGCAGCAATGAAAATTGCGAGAGGGACTACTAACAATCAATAAAATAAGTTTAATTCGGTGAAACATGTACAGAGACAATAATTTTCATTCACGAAGAGAAGTATTGAGAGTAAAGTGTCTCAGAAAATCATGAGTCAAGCAAGCATAAGCTTATTTATGTTTTAAGCCGGCTTCCCGGTGTTCGCTCTTTTTCAAGATGAACTCGAGGCAAGAAAATCGCTCAGAGCTTTCTGTTTAAAGCCAAAATCATAACTAAATAATCTTCGGAACCTTTTCTTTGAATTTGCGGGTCAAAAAATGTCTAAAGGCTTTTTAAACCTGATACTATTGTAGGTTAGATCATTGGTCGTGTTTTAACTTAAGCCGCATAAACCATACGCTCGACTTCAGGAAACCGAAAAAAAACACATCAAAAACAATAATGGCTCAGGCTTACCAGTCGAGATGCTGCTTCTGAAGGTAATCAAGTGTTCCAGAATCGCTTGAGACTTTTCAACCCTCTTACGCCTCAAGCAAGGGCAAGTGAGTAAGCTCATTTTTGAAAACCATGCTATCCGAAATCGGATTTCCAATGACTTTGACAAGCGGTGCTTTTGTCAACAAAAAGCGCAATAAACAAACCAGCCACGAATTACAGAACAATCTTGATAGCAGCTGTATTTCATTTTGTACACCAAGTAGAAAAAGACAGTTTAAAACATCACAATATGACACAAAACTCTCTCAGCTCCAGCTATCAGTAAGCAAGTTTCCAGACGCTGCATAAATTTTCCGCATAAACTCACCTGTCAAATTTTGACCAATCAGAACATAGAAACTGGGCGTAGAGCGTGATCAACGTGTGACAGTGAGAAAAGTCAAAAGCGATTGCCTTCCCTGCATGTAAACGTAAAAGCCGGTTGAATTTTCGTGCCCGAGATCAGTTCGAAATCAACATTTTAAAAGTGCGGCTCATGAAACACGCCTTATTTCATATGCATTTTAAAAAAATTGAACTTGAGCCTGCGATCATTTGAAAAGTAGCAACTTGTCAGCGGATACCTTCAAAATATTACTCGAACTCAGAGGGTCGATACCTGAGCCC